CGGGTTTCTGAATTATTTCTTCTTGAAGCTATGGGGGTCACATCTCTTTTCTATGTGCTTTTTTATTAGCTTGCGCGCACGTACGTGGATAAGTAACAATACCCAGGTGCACACCTCAAGGTCCACTTAGTATGGAAGTCAAATTTGATGATATTAAGCAATACCTAGATGCACTTCTCAAGGTCCACTTAGTATGGGGGCAAAATTTCAGGTTTATGGGTTCTTTTTTTTGGAGTTATGGTGGTCACACTTCTTTTCTATGTGGTTTTTTGCTAACTTGTTTCATAAAAAGATACGCACGCGCAAGCGAGCACTCACGTGGATAAGTAATAATACCCAGTTGCATACCCTCAGGGTCCACTTAGTATGTTTGCAAAATTTCAGGTTTCTAGGCTCTTTCCTCTTGGAGTTATGGCGGTCACAGATACACAGACACGCCCTTTTATTATTATAGACATATATACTATTGGAAAAACGCACTGAAATATAAAGAGGAATATTATCTAAAATGTTGCCTCACATTATCTATAATTAGTTTTAAAGGCACTATGGAGAATAACATTTGAACAAATTATATTTTTATTCAGCCAACTTGTGAATGTCATACGAGTTGACATCAATCAACGATATTTTTATTTCTGAGGTTAATTTACTATTCATTCCTTTATATGACATTTTCTGTACTTTTAGTTGTATATACAGGTATTGTGCAGGAAAATGTGGACTTACTAATTAACAAAATGGTCGATTAACATATAAAACCTCTACTAATTCTCTATCATATACACTGAGTGGTCACAAGTAAATGAACACCTAAGTTTTCGTCATTTAACTGATTTATGCCAACTAATTTGTGTTCACAGAGCACTATATAAATGAAAATGATCCACACTCTAATTATCTTGTGCTACAACATGCCTAGAACTCAAGGTTCTCTCGAATTGTCAGATTTTGTTAGAGGAAGGATAGTTGGTTAAGCAGATGGTGGAATAAGTCAGCGGCAAATTGTGCAGAATTTGGGAATCCCGCTTTCGACAGTCAACAGAAACATCGCCCAGTTCAGGAAACACGGCAAGGAAACAACTGAGCAGAGTCCGGGTCGTCCTGGTCAATCGGAGAGGACAAAAAGTGCTGTCAAGAGGAGCATCGAAATTGATCCCAGATTAACGACTGCAGAAGTGGCCAAAGTTGGTGGGATGAGCCCGAAATCTGTTCAACGGTTTCTCCACAGATTGGGTTATCGTTGCAGAGCAGCTGGACGGAAGCCCTTATTAAGACCTACCAACATATTCAGACGAAAGAAGTGGGCAAGTGATATGATGACCAGGCCTCTGGACTTTTGGAAGACCGTATTGTTCTCAGACGAATCAAGATTCGCTCAATTTTCGGACAGTGGAAGGATATGGGCCTGGAGAATGCCTAACCAAGAGTTTTGGCTCAACAAATTG